TGAAATATCCCTTTCCCTTGTGTTTGTTCCCTATCTATCGTCATTTTTTTTCCCTTTCTCTTGTACGTACAAGTCAAATAATATCAAACTCTCAAGACCAAAAAAAAATAAAAAAAAGTCAAATAATATCAAACTGTGTCGGCAATATTTCTCTCAAATATCAATCATTTGAATTTAAAGCAAATTAAATCTCAACAGATAAATCCCTTATAAATTAAAGGGTGGCTGTCCTGCCATTTGTCACCTACATCACCATGTTATATCCAAGGGCGCAAGATATATATATATATATTTGTATATACATATACATATCTGATTGCAGAAAATTCGAAGAAGTTTCGAGCAAGCTGGCATAGTGCCGTGCCGCGCCGTGCGTCATAATAAATCAAATTGGCCACAAAAGTTGATATCTAAACATACAAAAATAGGAAGTTGATATTGGCAAACTCTTTTTGGCGTTTGGGAGATATTCATCGTGTTAATGTTGTCTGGTTTTACATCACTAGCTTTTTACCTTTTTTGGGTTCTAGCTACATTAATTGCCAAGGCCACTTGAATTATCCCTTCTATTCTACACGTTGATCAATCCTTGCCTATGTAATCCCAAAGATAAAAATTGTCATTTCTCAACTGTCGGATTAATAAGTGAATTTTGAGTATACTTATATAGCTGGAAGTTTATTATCTAATAGTTATTTTTTCCCCTTTAGGAAACGATATGAAATCCTTGAATTTCTTTCAACTTTTAGATGACAACTTTTTTTTTTTTCTTTTCAATGATGATATTTTTTATTGCTATTCAATGACTGATATTTAAGCTGTATGATTATACGGATCTACATTTTTTGTTTTTGTTTTGTTTTGTTTTTTTTTTTTATGCGGCTTATAACTTATAAGGGAAAAGATAGATAATATATATAGGAACCAAGAGCCTTTTTCATGTCAATTAAAAAGGAAATCTTGCATGCTTTTCATTTGTTTTTGGAGCTCAGAGTTAGAAGCAAACAGTTTAAAACACATTAAAAAGACATCCACCTTTTTCCACATATTCCTTTGCCCTATTTGGCTTATATAGGTACGTTTATCACATCTCTTGCCACATACCTTGCTCTGATCAACAATGATCTTTCATCTATGATCTTACGAGTTTGGAAAAGATGTTATACCAATTGAATATTGGGAAATTTTCACAAAATACAAATAAAAGAGCAAAACAAAAAAAAAAGTCGATATATATATATATATATATATATTGTGAATGCATCTTTTGTGTCAAATCCCTTTCCAAGGATCCCCCCATGGATCCACTCTTTTGTTTAAGTCGCCATCCAATCCACCTTTTGTGCCACTCGAAGACAAAGCCATCAGCTTTCGATAGGGCAAAGTCAAAAAAACAAAACGAGAGTAGAAAAGAGATAACCAGAAATTACAAGGGCCAAAACACTGTCTCATTTACAATCATATAATATGCATGATTAGACCAATCGTCATGTACACAACTACTGTACGGAGCCGCCCCGTAGAATTAATAGATGAATGTGTGGTGTACGCCATGACCTTAAACCCTAATATTGCCACACACTTGCACTTTGATTGTAGCCTCTTTTGTATCATACGTATACTTGTGGGGAACAATACAAAAAGAAAATATTTGCATTATTCACTATATCTATCTATATCTTTATCTACATATATGAATGACATTATACTATATGTGCGTGTGTATGTATATGCTCGTGGGAAAGTTACATTTATACTATTCGTTACCTTTAATCTTGATTTTGTAAGATTTTTTTTTTTTTTTGGATGAAATTGTACTGTTGGATTACATTTGAGTGAAGCGTTATTGTTGTAGAGATGTCAAGCTAGTGAATTTGGCATCGATGTGGTTTTTACCACATTTTTTTCTTACTGTATTTAGGTCGATATCAAAGATGTTTGTAAATCAAGTTGGTAGTCGAGTTGAATATAAATAAGCTGGGATCAAAAAGATAAAGATCATGTCCCTAATTCTATCAGGGGAAAATCATCAAGAATGATCGTAATTTATTCAAATTTAACTAAAAATAAGTATTACCTCTTAGGTTAGGTGATCAAGATATAAAAAAGTCCAAATCTGGTGCAATTATGTTATTTATCAATCAAATGTATATTTATCTATAAGGTATAATTAAATAGGCTAATTCCGCCGCCAAGAAACCTTAATTGGTTGCAATATCTACACTCAAGCTATCTTTGTTTTCCTCTCATAGTGCCCAATATCAAAGTGGATATAACTCTTTTTTAAGGGTAAAATACTATTCGTATTAATTCTTGTGTATTCGTCTCTTTTCTAATATTGTTTACTACGTGTGAGATTAATTCTAGCCTTAAGATCACAAGAGATTTTATGCTGTTAATCAAGTTTTTACCATCAACAATTACGTACCATGATGTAATAAAATCATACGGTTGAAGTATACAGTTCAGTCTAAATATTGCTTTATAAATAACCTTGGCTATTTTAGGTCCATTCTCCTATCGATTTTTTCACTCTAAATTACTTATTTTGTTTTCAATCTCGTTTATTTTATTAATTTAAATTGAGAAATATATTTATACAAGAACAAACACTTTAATTTTAATACAAAAAATTAAATTTAAATTTTTATAAAAAAAAATATTATAATAAAAATTTAAATTATAATTTGAACTAATGAAATGAACGGCTAGATTTGTCCGAGAAGATATTGCACATGACATATCGTTCCTCATTCACGCACTGGACTTCTTACATTTAAGAACAGGCTACAGAGAGATATGTACTTCCCTACTTTATTGTCATAACTCTCTATTTTAATGACAAAGGACAATCTTCTGCACACAAACCAATGCACAACTCTTTTATTTGATCTTCGGAACATTATTAATGAGTGATAATAAAGTTCATCTTCACAACCTTTGTAACTTCTTTATCATGAGCATGCAAATGGACATTCTTCGTGCTTGCTCCATTGATCCTTGGGGTTTTGGAAAGACCAATGCGCCAAAAGTAAATTGTTGATCCAAAAGCCTTAAAGTTCTCAAGAGCAATATAATACTCATAATTTAATTTGATATTGTATAGAGACCAATACACAATCCACACACACACACACATATATATATACATATGTGCAAGTGTAGTATTTTTAATATATCATGTATAATATATATTACTAATTTATGACTGATTGGTATTGATCAAGAGTATAAATGCCCACTAATGCAGGACAGACATAAGGAAAAAATTGCTGGCAACGTTTGGTGTTGTGTAAATGTTTCATGGCATAAATTTTGCAATCATTGAAGCAAAAAGGTCAATATTTTCATTACATATGTCGAGGGAAAGAACATTTTTTGCTATTTGAACTTTATAACAGTACCAAAGCAAAACTCCAAAAAATCTCAAATGATTTTGTGTCCAACTGATGTGATTAGCTGAAAGCTAAGTATTTATCTCATTCTCATGATATATATATATATATTTAAAAAAGAGAAGAAAGCTAATTTTACTTGAATAATATATATTCAGGTCGACTGATGAAAATCAATTATTTGAAGAGTCAATAGGATTATATCTCATTCTCTCATATAGCTCCAAAAAATTCCTGTATTTGGGACATATTGTTGGTGATTGATATACGTGGGCTGTTTCTGAACCCCTTTTCCTTTTCATTTTTTTCACTTTTTATTTTTTTTATTTTTTCAGTCTCTAGCATGTCATAAACAGTACAAAAAGTCAATACCACAGTGTTTATAAATATGGTGGTCTTCTAGGAATTACTGTCCACAGCTTCAAACTGCCCTCCAAGAGACGTGAGTCCAAGTTTCAAACTTGCAGTTAGAATCCAACCAAAAAAAAAAAAGAAAGAAATTAGGAAGACTTTTTCTCTCTCTCTCTTCTGTTATTCACATGGTTACCAAGAGAGTGTCTTGTTGTGGTTTTTGTAAAATTCCAATTCCAATTCGCAGCAGCAGATCTTGTTGATGGACATGTGAAAGACTCTGTGTTTTTGGAGTCACTATTCTATTAGCTAACTAGGTCCAATAGGGTGGTGCGCATGTGCAACTGAGTCCCTCGGTTTTTTTTTTTTTTTTTTTTTTGGCCTTTGAAAAATTAAAATTAAAATATAAAAAAACCTTTTTGAGGAACCCCTCGTCTACTTCCATCCATAACAATAATACCTTAATCATTTCAGCCAAATCTGTCCCAAAAAATAAATTTAAAAAAAAAAAACAAGAAAAAAGGAAAATCATTGCAGTAAATAGTTCATATCACTCATTCCCATGTTACTATCAAGTTATCAACGTCCTTCCAACTAACTCTTTCTTTCTCTCTCTCTCTTTCTCTCATACAAACACGTTTGGTTAAAACCCTGAAAGAGTTTCATGTATTAAATTATATTAACCAGTCTGTGTTAATTGGAGGGTATTACAATTTCAAATCTTTGTCTAGTCAAGAGCCGGTTTGGTTTGGTAAGTTCTTTCCTCTCCTTTTTTTTTTTTATTAAGAAAAGAGAAGAAGAAGAAAACGCCTAAAAAAAAGAATTTCTCTTGCAAAATCAAAAAAATAAAATTATTCGTAGTTTTATTTTTTCAGTCGTGTTTTACTATTAAATCTACATTAAAAATTATATATTATGTATATTTTTTTAATCTCATTTAATTTTAATCACATCTGATAATAAAAAATTAATCATACCATAAGACGATCTATCATATATAATCTTAAAAGAAAAAGTTAATATTTTTGTCATTTAATTTTGTTTTACAGTTTAGTACTGAAGGGTCTAATAGATTGGGGTCCCTCCCCCCCCCCCCCCCCCCCTCTCTCTCTCTGAAGCATAATATGGTGGTGGTTCAGAGGCCTCTATATATATGCACAATCTTGGCTGAGTTAAAACTAGAGCATGCCCATACATATCCATACCATTTACAGCTCTCTTTGGAGGAGTGTGGGATTTTATTTTTTTGAAGCTTCTTCTTCTTCTGCTTCTTCTTGTGCTTCTTCTTCTTCTTCCTCTTCTCCTAGGGAGTATCAATGGCTGCATTCATGGTTGTTTTGGGTGTTTTCCTCTTTGTTCTCTGTTTTTGCTCTGCTTTGCTAAAGTGGAATGAGGTCAGATACAGGAAGAAAGGCCTTCCTCCAGGCACAATGGGTTGGCCAATCTTCGGAGAGACCACTGAGTTTCTTAAACAAGGCCCTGACTTCATGAAAAACCAAAGAGCAAGGTGATAAAAAATCTCTCTTTTGCTAATTGTTTTAATGGGGGTTCCTCTGTTTTTTCTCTGTTTTCCTTCCCCTGAAAATCCACCGCTTAATTGCACTTGTCATTAAAGTTAAATTTTTCTTTTTGGGTTTTTTTGAAAAAGAAAAGGAAAAAGGTTTTTTGGGTGATTATATTGGCCTCAGTAGGGGGAGGTGTTACTCCATGAAAACAGCCCCAAAAGATGATTATATTGCATCAGTCAGCTTTCTGATATCTGAATCATAACACTTTTTTTTTGTTTGGTTGGTTTATAACTTTATATCACAAAACACAAACAGGTACGGAAGTGTTTTCAAATCCCACATACTGGGGTGTCCTACCATTGTTTCCATGGATCCGGAGCTGAACAGATACATCCTAATGAATGAGTCAAAAGGCCTTGTTCCTGGCTACCCTCAATCCATGCTTGACATTTTGGGCAAATGCAACATTGCTGCCGTTCATGGCTCCACTCACAAGAACATGAGAGGCGCTTTGCTTTCCCTCATTTCCCCCACCGTGATCACACACCAGCTTTTGCCCAAGATTGATCAGTTCATGAGAACCCATCTTTCTGATTGGAATCACAAAGTCATTAACATCCAAGAAAAGACCAAAGAGGTTCGTTTTGTTGCATTTTTTTATTGTTTCCCATACATTAACCAGATTCCTTATATCTCTTTTTCTGTTTTTTTTTTTTTTTTTTTTTATTCCTTCAAGTAACATTTGTTTCAACACTTTTTTGTTACTATGCAGATGGCACTTCTGTCCTCTCTTAAGCAGATTGCCGGTATCGAATCGGGATCAATGTGTGATGAATTCAAGCCTGAGTTCTTTAAGCTGGTTTTGGGAACTTTGTCATTGCCGATTGATCTTCCTGGCACTAACTATAGACGTGGATTCCAGGTTAGTTTGACCAAAAAGGAAAAAGTTTTCACATCAGCATATTTACCTTTTTTCTTTCATTTCTTTTTTTTTCTTTTTTTTTAACTGGGGGGTTTGGTAATATTTTACTGACGTAGATGTTTTAACCGTGGTGTTTGGTATAGGCAAGGAAGAACATTGTTAGCATGTTGGGGCAGCTCATAGAGGAGAGAAGGGCTTCCCAAGAAGATCACCATGACATGCTTGCCAGTTTAATGAGAAGTGAAGATAACAGATATAAACTGAGTGATGATGAAATCATTGATCAAATAATTACTATTTTGTACTCGGGATATGAAACTGTTTCAACCACTTCCATGATGGCTGTCAAATACCTTCATGATCATCCCAAAGTACTCGAAGAACTTAGAGTAAGTTGACCGTCAGATAGAATTATATTAGATCAATGAATTCCATAAGTTAGACGGTTAAAAACTGCGAAAAGATTATTCAAAAAGTTTATGTTTGAGCTTCTTTTTTTTTTTTTTTTTTTTTTTTTGTCAATGCTTGTAGTCCTTAATTGTGTGTCAAATTTATCAGAAAGAACATTTGGCTATTAGAGAGAGGAAAAAGGCAGAGGATCCGATTGACTTGAATGACCTCAAATCAATGCGGTTTACTCGTGCGGTAAGAGATCTTTTTTTCACTTTTTGACGCACTTTCTTGTTTGTTAATGATAAAGAATATCACTTAAAAAGCTATTCCCTTTTTCTTCAGGTGATCTTTGAGACCTCAAGGTTAGCCACTATTGTTAATGGGGTTCTTAGGAAAACCACTCAAGATATGGAACTAAATGGTGAGTTGGCTATATATATGTATATATTATATATATATATATGTATGTATGTATGTATGTATGTGTATATGTATATGATATATTTCCTAACAGCTTCTAGCTTCTGTCATGTTTTTTGTGGGCTCAAGAAACTGTTGTGCAGATAGCATTTACTTTTGTCACTTTTTTGGCATAATAATTATGTGAAGCAGTTCATAGTCATGAGACCTATAATGATATGCATGGAATTATCCAATGATCTAGCTAGACCATTCGGTTAAAGAATAATTTTTGACAAAAAGGAATGTCTTTCTTTTTCTTAACAAGAGGAGAAAGACTACTCTGGTTTTTATTCCAGTATATTCAATTCTATATGAGTTCTTTTTTTTTTTTTCATATGGTTCGGATCAAATGATATGATGGTGTGTGGGCCATACTCACATTAAAATTCATCAACAATGACTGATCATAAGTCCTTTTGTGTTCTTTATTCACATCACAAAATTATCTTCTCCTATTATTGCATTGACCTCCTCCAAAAATTATCTTCTGCATACATTTTACTTTGTCAACATGAAGTTGGAGTTACCAAAAAAAAAAAAAAAAACGCAGTGTACTAATTCAGCTTTTCTTTTTCTGCTTTGTTTTTCAGGATTTTTTGTTCCAGAGGGATGGAGAATTTACGTTTACACTAGGGAGATAAACTATGACCCTTTTTTGTACCCCGATCCTTTAAAATTCAATCCATGGAGATGGCTACAGGTATTTAACATTTCCTAGACCGGCAGGTTTCGCATGTTTTTGACGTTGAATTTGGTTAAAATTATATCAAAGTAAAAAAAAATAAATAAATAAAACTGATAGAATTCATAATCATTTATTGTTCAAACAGTGTCTTATTTTAAAAAAAAAATTTCTCGTTCTTCTTTTTTTTCTACCTTTTTCTGTAAACTAAGAAATTGGTTCCAAAGTCACTAACTAAATTTCCTTTGACTTCAAAATACAGGACAAGAGATTGGAATCAAAAAATTACTTCTTTATATTTGGAGGAGGTACAAGACAATGTCCCGGAAAGGAACTCGGAATAGCAGAAATTTCCACTTTCCTACACTACTTTGTTACTAGATACAGGTGACTAATGATTCAAACATGACCAAAAAACCATAATTCTTTCACATGTTAAATTAATCACATCAAAACCATGGCATCACTTTTGTTTGCTTACATAGTTTTCTCTCTCTCATTTCAGGTGGGAGGAAGTTGGGGGAGATAAACTAATGAAGTTTCCAAGAGTAGAAGCACCAAATGGGCTACATATTAGGGTCTCATCTTACTAACTAACCCATTTTATGTACAGAGAGAAGAAGTATAGTACCACCAAAACGAAGATTGATGTACAATAAGTCCTAACAAGTTAGAGAATTAATGAGATTGAGCATTTTTCTTTTGTCGGCTAAGTAAGTTTGCTGTCAATTATTGAAGGAAATAGGACTGACAAGACTGTAAATTTTTTTATTTTTTTCTGGCTTTGCCATTGCGGAATCAGTCTCCTGTTTTCTTCTTGCACAGTTTTGGTTAACTTGCCTTGACCCGAATAATAAATGTTTATCCTGCTAACTCACGAAAGGGTTTAATAATAATCACTGTTGTGACAGAGGGTGGAATTTATTGTGGCGTATTTATCCATGTCTGTAAGAATATTGCTAATGTAAGACATACATACATCCACACACACAAATATATATATATATATATATCAGTATATGTATGATGCAAATGTATATATGTGCATGTTTACGAATATATCCCATATGTATATGCAACATATTGCTTACTGAGGCTAATCCAATAGTAAGACTCGTTTTTCAGGGAAAAAATAAATAAAAGTTCGTTCATTTTACCATTCAAATTTAGAATTTGAGTTTTACTATATTAAAACACTCTAAAAAACAGTCACATTTAATTTTTTTGTTACAGTAAAAATTACATCTCAATTCAAATCAGCGAATTAAACGGACTAAAAAAAGCAGTAACAATCGGTCAGATCATAGAAAGCTAGTATTATCTACTAATTTTGACCTATGTAGTCAGAATTTTGCAAAGGTCAACTCCATTTTTTAATGGAAAAATATATTTCAACGCTTGAAAATACAATACAAATACCAATTCACACTCACACAGATTTTTATTACACGAAACATGGTACCGATAGACAAGATTCCACCAATAAAAGAATCTCTATTTATTATCTTCATTATGTTAGAAAACGTCGTGCTAAAATAATAAATGTGAGACTCATGAAGAGGGCCTCTAAAATGCGACTACAATTTGACTAAGAGCACAATTAAATGCCCATCTCGAGGCTTGAGCTTCATCTCATAAAGATACCCTGCAATTTATACATTTGTGTGTGTATATATAGTGCTGAAAATTAAGGATATATATATATATATATATATTTATATTTATATATATATATTAGGGTGTAGTTTAAATTAAGCCAGTAATATAGGTCATGACACGACAACACGAATTTTACCGGTTAGGGTTGAGAAAAAAGAGATTCGGGTCAGAATTGGGTCGACCTGAAATTGACACGAAAAACACAGGCCAATTTCGGGTTGGACCCGCCTAATCCGAACACGACGCGAAACTCGTAAAAAACTAAAAAATATATATTTTTCATTACATATTTTTTATTTTATTATGAACTTGTGATATCATGATAGTTATACTCAAAATTTATACTATTATTTGCTTAATTTCAATGGATGTTATTGTATTTCAGTGTGTTATGAATTTTAAGTTATTTTTAATAATTAAAAAACTAAATAAAAGTATACAATTTTCGTGTCAATTTCGGATTCACGGGTCAATTTCGTGTCATGGGTCTTTTTCGTGTCGTGTCGTGTCAACTTGTAGAGTGGTCGTGGCGTGTTCGTGTTGCGGTTTTTAAAAAATTTCGTGTCACGGGTCGTGTTCGGGTTGACTGCATATTAAAAAAAATGACTAAAACACGACACGTGATACGAATTGCCACCCCTAGTTTAAATGGACACTTCATTATGTAATTATAAGTGAGCATTACTATTTCAATTGTAAAATATTAGTTCGATAGTTGTAATAAATTTAATAGAATTAAAATTTTATAATAATTAATAAAATTAAATTTTTATCACACCATACTATAAAATTTTAATATTTAATGGATAATCATCGTAAAAATGTAACTATTTAAAACTCATCTATGTATATATATTTGTATTTGAAGTCAAGAGAAAACTAGTACTTCATAAATGATAAAACAAAGAAAGAGATTTCTAAAATAAATTACTGGTAGGTTTCTATTTTAAGTTGTTAGATCTATATCATTAACTATTTATTTTGCATATTTTTTGTTTTGATGTGATTTTTTAATAGCTAGAAACTTGCACTATAAGTAGGAACCCCTACGGTAAAAAAACCCAACAAACAATTGAGAGTGAAAATGAGATAAATACTCCTTAAAGTGTATGAGTTTACATTTTTTCTCTTTACTCTTAATTAATATCTTTTTTTAATTAAATAATTATATTAATTAAAAAAGTATTAATTAAGAGTAAAAGAAAATTCAGACTCCTGTGCTCACCCTTAGATCAACAATTTTCTCCAATTTGAAAAGGTTCATCTTGCATTTGTCTAAGTTGAATAAGCTGCTCCCTTCCAAGGCCCATGAAATTGAGAAACAGGCTTTGTTTAGAAAGGTAGGCCCAAAGAGAATAAGTACACGTGGGCCGATCTGAGGTCCCCAAAATGACATGCGGGAATTAAGGTAGTTAATTCCAAATATTCCGATAATCATTTCAGTCAAAAAGCAGCCTAACTATAAAATCACTGATTAAACGCAAAGACCTCTTTTTTTATTCTCAAGCCACGTGTGAGTTTCTAATTCCACACGCTTTCTTTTTCTCGTTATTAACCGCTTTTCCCTCCGCGTCAAATGATTCAAAACAAAGCCAAGCGCCTTCGTCTTTGTCGGTAGTGAAATTAATAGTTTCTCAGCTCCCTTGACTTGCCTAATTTGAGTACCCACAAATCTTGGTGGCATTTTTTATTATTTTCCTTTTTTTATAATATTCTAGAACTTAAAAAAAATAAAAATAAAAAAGATCACGCATATGAAATCCAAAATTCAATTGTCAAATGATAAAAGGAAACAATCCGAGTTGTAAAAATATTTTCAATCAAACGCAGATAATTCTAAAATTTTTTTTTTTTTTGAAACCGTTTTCCACTTCATTTAGTGGTCAGAATTTATGTAATTTTTGGGATTTAAAGAATTTTTTTTGTTTGATTTTCCAATTCCTTTTATTCAAAATTAATAATGTTGAGAACTTGAATCTTAAGCATTTTATTTCTTGAAATCTTATAGTTTCTAGTTTCTCAGTGTGGAAAACATGAGTTCACCATATTGATTCAATTGAAACGTATTTTATAGGAAACCACGTGAAAAAAGCATTATTAGTTTGCTACATTTGCACATAAATATGGTTGACCATAGTTTGATCACAAATATTTCTAGGTTTTCGGATGACAACATGATTAATTAGAAATTAAAGCGTAATTGATAATTCTACATAAAACAAAAACTTTACTCGACTACTTATAAAAGGTCATATTTTTGAAAATTTTTTTGAATGGAATATTTTTGAAATCTTTTAAGATGTAAAGGTAATATAACTAGAATCACTAGATAAAATTCCTAGTAATAAGGACGCTTTTGAGGTGCAAAGATGATTAGTTTAGAAGCTTTCAAATAATAAGTTGGCCTTACCCTTAAGCTAGCACCACTTATCTCACCATATATATTTCCCCTCACAAACCCCATTTCCTTCAAACAAAACAATCTCATTCTCTCTCATTTTCATTTTATTTTCAGCTCGATCCAATGGCTTCTCCTTCGACGACACCCCTTCTGAAAGATGAGCTCGACATCGTGATCCCGACCATCCGAAACCTCGACTTCCTCGAGATGTGGAGGCCGTTTTTCCAGCCTTACCATCTCATCATCGTCCAAGATGGTGACCCTTCCAAGACCATCAAAGTCCCCGAGGGCTTCGACTACGAGCTCTACAACCGTAACGACATTAACCGAATCCTCGGTCCCCGGTCCTCCTGCATTTCCTTCAAGGACTCCGCTTGTCGCTGCTTTGGCTACATGGTCTCCAAGAAGAAGTACATTTACACCATAGACGATGACTGCTTCGTAAGTTTCTTCTTAGTTTTCCCTTAGACATCTTTTTAAGGTATGCGAAAAATCGAAAGAAACTAAATGTGATCGTGTGTGTAGGTCGCGAAAAACCCGTCTGGGGAAGATATCAATGCACTTGACCAGCACATAAAGAACCTCTTGTCTCCATCGACGCCATTTTTCTTCAACACCCTTTACGATCCTTACAGAGAAGGCGCAGATTTTGTGCGTGGATACCCTTTCAGCCTCCGAGAGGGTGTCCAAACTGCTGTTTCCCATGGCCTCTGGCTCAACATCCCTGATTATGATGCGCCTACTCAGCTTGTCAAGCCTCTAGAGAGAAACGCCAGGTAACTTAAACATCATGCACTTCTCATGAACCGAAAAGAGGATTAATTTTATTGTACCAAGAAAGAACTCTTGAAACTGGTACTAGGAATACGATAACTTGTGAATTTAATTGATGTTTTAATCTGCGAATTTGAACATTGGAAGTGTAAAATAGACTTATGAATGTTAAAAGTTTCAATCTTTGATTTTATGAATTAATTTAAGAAACGATGTACTTGTGACTATTGAATGTTGAAATTGTGAAGTAGAATGATAAACTTGTCAATCAGGAATTAGACTCCCGACACCATAGAAGGACCCCGAAAAGAATGAACCCCCATTTTTTCAGTTGACGTCTAAATTTTTTTATTTCTTTCTTCAGGTATGTTGATGCGGTTCTGACCATTCCAAAGGGAACTTTGTTCCCCATGTGTGGCATGAACTTGGCATTTGACCGTGAGCTTATTGGCCCTGCAATGTACTTTGGACTCATGGGTGATGGTCAGCCAATTGGACGCTACGACGATATGTGGGCAGGGTGGTGTGTCAAGGTCTGTCGGAATTGAACAATTTTCAAACCATACCGAAGTTTTAAGAAAATCTCGACCGTTCAAAAACGCGTGATTTTTAATACCCTTTCACATAATTCCCTCTTTCTATAATGAGTATTTCATTTTCAGGTGATATGTGACCATTTGGGATTGGGAGTGAAGACGGGCCTACCATACATCTGGCACAGCAAAGCTAGCAACCCATTTGTGAACCTGAAGAAGGAGTACAAAGGCATTTTTTGGCAGGAAGAGATCATCCCATTCTTCCAATCTGCAGTTCTCCCTAAAGAATGCACCAACGTGCAGAAGTGCTACATTGAACTGTCTAAGCAGGTCAAGGCGAAGCTTAGCAAGGTGGATCCTTACTTCGACAAGCTAGCCGATGCCATGGTCACGTGGATCGAGGCATGGGACGAGCTCAACCCTGCTGGTGGATCTGCTAAACTGGCCAATGGCAGTGCCTAATTCAAAGTTTTTGTTTTGATTAGTCCGCAAATCCTCTTTATTTTTGAATAATCATTATTAGTTGTTATAGTCATTGCATACCTTTTTTTTTTGTTTTTTGTTTTTAATGTCTATCTATCATGTCTTTGTGACCCCATGTGGTGGTCAGACATCAACCCCTGGATGTGCATTTTGGTGGGGATGTAATTTTATTACTTAGCTTTATCTTATGAGCTTGCAGCAATAAAAATACAGTGCTTGATCTAATGTTTTTGAATGCTATTGATAAATATGATTTATTGAACAGAGAAACAAACAAGTCTTTTGCCTTTGTGGGGATGGCCTTTTTGTTTTGTAACTTTGTCTGTTCTTCCTCTTTTATCTTTTTATATGGTGTGTTTGAACTTTGAAATGAAAGGTGAAGTTGGAATTTCATGTAGACCTCATACCTGATTCAATAGCTGCATCCAAAAGACATGTTGAACAGCAATATTAGCACGAGTAAAATAAAAAATAAAATAAAAAAAGTTAATCGCCGTTGCCGGGGATCGAACCCGGGTCACCCGCGTGACAGGCGGGAATACTCACCACTATACTACAACGACCTTGTTGTTAGTGTTCCCGTTTGTAATATAATTAACTTGTGACCAGTGACTTCATTCCTCTTCTACTCCGAATCAGATATTCTTTTGTTGTTTTGTTTGTTTCTTTGTTTTTTGTCATATCTGATCATAAATTCTTTTGTTATTAGATTTAGAGATTTTTTTAGAAGGCATGTTATGTATTATATGCAGCAAAAGAGTTTAAAGTCTGCTACCGTAATGTCGTTTTCCTGTTTCTTCAATCATTCACATAAAATAAATGTCGTTTGTAGTTCTCATAAATGATGCGTGGTCCGCTTTTATCGTCGTTTATGATGAAAGCGATTGTAATTTTGCATTCTTTTTCTTTTTTGGCAACGAGATTTCTAAAAAAACTGAAGGTCAACAGATGTTTATTTACCTTGATGTCGTATCAGTTTCCTTTGTATTTTGTATGTCGTTTCTGTTCAGAAACGACATGTCAGCCTCAAATTTCAAGCTTGTTATGTGTATGAAATCGACGTATCGGGTGCGTTTGGAATTCGTTCCAAAACATTTTTATTTTTTGTATAAAAATGAAAACGAAAATGTTTTCATTTTCATTTTGGAATCATTTTGGAATCATTTTTGAAAATACGTTTGGTAGTTTTATTCCAAGATTATTTTCAGTTTAAAAAAAAAACTAAAATTGTGTTTGATGGTTTAATTTTTAAAAATGTGTAATAATATATTAAATAAATAATAATATTAAATATATTAAATAATAATATATTAAATAAACATGATTATATACATGAAAACTTGGGGGGGTGGGGGAAGAAAAATGGAAACTGAAAACGATCCTCGATCGTTTTCAATTTTTGTGATTTTTTGAGAATAAGTACAAAAACGTTTTCAATTTTTGTTTTTAAAAAATGCGGTGTCAAATGCATTTCTGTGTGCGTTTTCATTTTTTAATTCTCGGAAAATGTGAAAATCATTTTTAGAAATGATTCCAATCAGACACGTCATTTGTGTGTTTTCCATTGACTCAGAAAACGGTATTCATCCCTTTTCCTAAAAAAGATAAATAAAAAAATGAATAATAAAAAAAACATACATCTCCTAAAAAGAAAACCTCTCCTAAAAGGAAAACCAACCAACATCAGCAACATATAAAAATCACCTAGTAAACTCTCAAAACATAGTAAAAACTAATGTTTTACTGAAAGGATATGAAAGAGGCGCAAAGATTTGAGCATAGGAAACAGTATAAAGAAAAGCAAAAGTTGATGTTGGCATTGATTTTTCTCTTCTCAGTGCACGCTGTGTAACAAGCGAACAAATTTAATACCTTAATGATTATTCAGACAAAAAAATAATAATAACAATTATAACTCTTAACAAAATAAATTAAAGCTACACTTTCCATAACCAAAATTTTCGTAAAAGTCTCTTCCACGCGGCTCCATATATCCATGGCAGTTTTGCTCACAAGTTGAAGGTTGATGATACAAGCAATCTCCCTCCCATCTCTTTCTTAAAAACAAAGCTGAGAACAAAACATTTCTTTCTTATGGAGCCGATAAGAGCCGCAGGCCAGCTTCGTTACATCGACAGACCTGAAAGAAAGGACAGTTCATGAATCCAAGGTCGGCTCCTCTGTCTTTTGACGCTTGCCTTCGGGTTCTGCACCATCTTCCTGTTCCTGGTTCAGAATGCCATTCACAACCTCGGCGCCTAACAGAGAAATGTGTTTGGTGGTAATTTGACGACCTGCCCTGAGCTTCGGGCCCCAGTGCCTCTCAGGATTTGGAAGGAACCGAGCAACCTTCTTGGCTTGCGCTTTGCTAAGCGACGCGACAGCTCTTGCAAAGTTAGCCTGTAAAAAGAGGAAATGTAAAACACAAAAAATAAAAAAGGAAACCCTTTCGGCAGCAATACTAAAAAAAATGGAAGTAGGGTCAACAAAGGTGGCAAAACGTACTTGAAGTACAGGTTCTTTAGCGAGTATCACACTTCCAGGTTGATCGGGTGGTTGAGCTTTCACAGGGTGGTTTTTGACCTATAAATATTTATTGAAAAAATAAATAATTCTTCATCACTTAATTATTATAGCATTTGCAACACCATATTATAAAAATCAAGTGAGAAGATTCATACCCAGCAGCGCATGATGTCCCAAATGACGTCCATGGGAGCATCCGATTTCAATCCCAATGGGTTTACATGAGTTCCTGAGATACGATATCCTGCATTGATCACAGCGGACCGGAAAATCACCGCAGATGGAGAAGTGCACTTGAGAGTGGCACAGAGGTTGTGCAGACTCAAGAACAAGGGAACATCAGGCAATTCCTGAAAAACAGTTGCGGATCAGAAACATAAAGAGCAAACTGAGCACCATATTTTCAGAACTTTTGAGCAAAGGCAACAGAGATATATGGCAGGATACACTAGACATAGACAATTACAAACGTAAAATCATATATTGTTATATTCGACCTTTTACTTTAAAGTGAAAAGGGCATTAAATTCTTAAAGACACGCACACACCTCGGAGATTGTCGTTAGTAAAGCAGAGATGCGATCATAAGCAGGGTATCTTTCCTTCATAGATTTCACGTCTTCAAGTATGGAAGCAACCCATTCTTGATCATGAATAGGAGCGGACCAAATAGGGCCACCCATGTTGAATTTCTTCCCACAGTCGCTGCATTCTTGGGGAACAACAGGACCAAAACCAGGTAGATATCTTACACTAGTATTCTGTAAAGATCAAACTTAGACTTCATCAAAACATTGTCACCACCTTCGGATCAAAACAAACAAAGAAAACTACTTTTTGCTATTGCAATTTGGTACTAAGAAAGAATTACAGATAAAGGGTATTAACATGGATATTGTAATTTACTCGTTTAAACTATTAAACATCTGAATGTTGAATTCCGACATTATCAGATACCCAAGTTTACCTTGGTAATTGTCCTTCCAATGGGCTGTAGATGGAAAGAATCACAGCCAATGCACTGATACACATAGGAAAGCTTGAGGGGAGTGTTCTTCATTGCACTCGCAGAGCTGCGAACATTTTTTTTTTTTTGAGTTTTTAGTCAACAATAGGACTCAGAAATCACATATTGCTAAATTTTTTAACATAATTCAGAATAACTCGGCCACCTACGAGTAGATGCGGACGAAAACTCGAACATAGAAGTCAATCTGAACTGATAGCACGGGAACAATATATCGCTTATAACGATTAGCATGACTCTGCAGAAAAAATAAAAATAAATACAAGATAAATACAGATCAAAATATAATATATTGTGGTTTACAAAAAGGAAATTTGGAAAAAAAAATAGATTTAGATAGAGATGTGGAAAGAAGCGAAACGCTTTATCCACATATGTTGTGGATTTTAAAAGTATAGGAGCAATGTGAGGGATAAAGCAACAGAATGTATCATGATATACAGAGACAACTTTCCTTCAGAAAGATCAACCGAAGCGGGATTAGCCATTATTACAGAGGACATAATTCAAAATCCTCAAAAAAGAAAAAAATGTGGTCCATCTCATTATTACGAAGGACACACGACCACACACAGTTGAACACCTCCAGAAAATACTCCCAGATAATTATTGGTACTTAAATATCAATGTTTAAGAAATAGAAAGTAGCACTCCCTACATCAATCCAATTGTCATAAGTAGAAACCAGTAAGTTAAACTAAATTAACACATTTAATTTAAAAGAGACGAACACCATCAAGGACATAGTAATATACCTCAATGCAAGCTAGGAGGATCCTCAAGGCCATTTCATGACAATATTTTCCTCTCAATGGATAGGAACCATATCTAGTACAAAAATAGTTGTCAAAATTTAGTCCCCACTCCCCAAAAAAATCATTACTCAATCAAAAACTTTGGTAGGAATTACAAAACCTTACTTTGAATAGCAAACCTCCCCATTTCCCCCACAAAGCACTGCCATATCCGTTGCTGTACACATCAGCATGCCTCCATCAACAACTGACTGAACTGCGGAGTCCAAGAACACAGAAGGCGAGCCATAAGGATCAAGATCGACCTGCAACTCAAATGAAAATAAAGATTATGAATTGTGGTTGAAATCAATAGGTTTTTAATAAGTGCCGGCAAGAATGTCCAAATGCAAAGCTTCTGCAAAGTTGATATGAACACACATAAGAGTATACATACCGCATCAAATTCTTTTGGGTGGGTCAGCATGTATACACGGGCATCAGCAAGATGCGATTCGACCTTTGAACATGCCACTGAACCATTGAACTTGATGTTTCTTCTACAAGCTTCAACTGACACTATAGAAATGCGGTAAAAAATAATCAATCGCTTCTATAATTCATAGGTTAGCTAGGAAACAGATAAGAACCACCTAAAATAAATCATTAAGCATAGGTAAAATCTCTAAGGCCCCTTCATTTCACCGATTCGAGTTTAGAATTTGAGTTTTGCTACAGTAAAAAGTTCTCAGAAATAGTTACATCTAACTTTTTTACTACAGTAAAAAGCTCTCACATAAAGTCACATCTCAACTCGAATTAAAAACTCGAATCAGCGAATTAAACGGGCCTTAAATTACAGGCTGATTACGAATTTTTATTTCAAGACAGTTAAGAGCAACCTAAATCATTATATTTATTTACTGTTCTCATAAATAAGGAGCAACAGAGGCCCTCTGGAGCTCAAGTACCATAATGCAAAAAAACATATATTTACACGATACTGTAAGAAGTTTGGAAATAACCTTTATCGTTGTCAAGAGCCACAACTTTACCAATTCCTTCCACTTCACGGGCATATCTCAGAGCTCTTAGACCAGAAGCTGATAGAGCCTGTTAATGCACATCAAAAGGAGTAGGATAAGCAAAAGACAATTGGAAACTGTGGGTTGTAATTTTCACCAAGTATTGGGCTATAAGAGAGAGAGAGAGAAAAAAAAAACTGGTAATATATCAAACAGCACAGAGCACAATTTTGAGAACCTCAAGAACTTTTGGGGGCTTCAGTTGTGCTGGTTCTTTTCCCTCTGTTGTCTTGACATGCTCTTCCAAAACGCCACATGGTTCATTAAGAGATACCTTATCCTCTTCACAATCCCCATTAGATATTTCACCATTTACAGAAGATCCATTAGATGCTTCTTTTGGAACATCTTCTGAAGCATCCATTTCGGATACTTTTGTAGCTGATTTTGTTCTTTTTGCCAATCTCGTTTCATGTTCTTCTTTTTGTTTGGCTATAAAAGTCCTTAGGACAGCAATGGATATATCCCTGTTATTAACCTGACCATGAAAAGATGAAACCATCACAATCCTTTACAAGAAAACAGATAGAGTAACTCTTATAAGATAACTGCCAATGGAGAGAAAATAAAATCCAATGGAGAAGATAATTGCCAAGGTAACATCTTTAGCCTTTCCATATTACCTTTACCATCCTCAAACCCTAATTACAGTCCCAACCAAGACAGATCTCTTGATTCATGACAATATGAAACCAGAACATGAGCCTATACCATATGCAATAAGGATATGCAAAACAAGAAGTTGCATTATTCCTCATTCTTTAAAACATAGTGAAATCATCACCAACCTGATAGATCTGCACCTACGAGAACTAATCTGATAAACCAATATCAAATGTTTTCTTCTTTGTTAAGACTTGAGACTAAAAAAACAAGTTCTTTGCATTCTAGAAGCATTATGCCTGCACAAGGCAAATATTCTGACGTTTAGTTAGAGTTTATTCTACTAATAAAATTTGTTCCATTTGAAGTCTTTCCTTGTCCTGAAGTCTAAATAAAACATCATAAGAATCTATGTCAACTCACAAAAATCAGCTGCCCAAAACTAAACTCTCCACATCCATGACTTCACCCCAAAGAGGAGATCCTCTTCATAAAAAATTAAGACATAAACTAACGGTTTTCACAATTCAAAATCCAATCTTCTTCGTTCCTAAAATATATGTTCTTTTAAACTAATAACAACCCTTTGACACTCTTCCAATTCAGACCACATCCCAAAAAAAAAACCCACATAAATTCCAACTCAGAAACTCCATCGAAACAATCAGCACAAAATAAAATCAACAAAAAGAGGAGATTTCGGCACCTGGGTTTTGTTGTAAAAGACTTCATTTTTTGCGTGCATCAAAATCTCAGCCTCTCCTTCCTTGATGATGGTATAATCACCGAGATCTGTCGACATTTTCTCGGCACTTTCATGCAAGAAAATCTCCGCCTCTCCTCGTACGCCGCCGCCTCGTATAAGTTTTTTGTTCCAGCAACACACAAAGGGCGTAAAAAGCACGGGGCTTGTAATAGTTCTTCCTAGTTCAAAGCTTTCCTAGTTCAAGTTCACAACTTTATATATGTATTTTTTGTACTTTGTGACATGAAAACCCTATCCGTCACAACTTCAGAATTTTTCCCATTCTTTTTTCAGATTTAAGAATTGAATTTTGTCGTTCTGATAATAATTGATTTTTATTTTCTACGGCGAAATAAAGAAATAAGTAAAAGAGGGGTTTTTTCTCTCTTCCTTAAACCCTAATTCCTGACCCGGTATTTTTTTTTTTAGTTTTCAAAATTAATTCCTGATTGGGTATATCTTAAATTCGTTTGCATTCAAATTTAAAAATAATTTAAACACAAATTACAATTTTATTTAAGTTCATAATTTTTTATAAAATTTAAGTTTTAACTTGAGTTTTAACTTGAGTTTGAAATTAAAATCTGAGTTCAAGTTTATTCTTTAACTTAAGTTCTTAAACTCAAATTTAAGTTTATGAACAGTATTTTGTCTATTTTTAAAAATACTATAACTTTTTCATTTTAATTCCAATTGAGATGATTCTTTTTTATGCGTTCACAACGAAAAAATGAATAAAACTCCACCCATATACCCTATTAAAATTTTTCATCATCATTGAGTTTTTATTAAAATACTTTCTAAATACAAACTCAAATTTTGACTCACTCAAACACAAATTCAGAAAGATTTTCATCTCAAATCATAACTCAAATGTACACAACCAAATACAAACTCAAGTTATAACTTAAATTCAACTCAAAATCTACACTCAAGTCATCATAACTCAAAAATGCAACCGAACAAGCCCTTAAACTTTGTTAGTATTTTGTTGCTAAAATGCGTTGGCGGGCATAAAATGTAGGTGGGTGGGTCGCGGGGGCATAAAATGTAGGTGGGTGGGTCGCGGGTCAGGCGGATATGGAATGGGTTATGGAGGGTCCAAATAAGAACAAACCTCAAATATTTTTATTTTTCCAAAAAAAGAATTGTCTTGATTAAATAGTATTATTGAATGCTTAAAATGAACTATAATATTTCAGAGGAATTGACTAACCGTCTTAATTAGGCACTGAGAAGAAATCCAACACGATTAATTGGATTTGAAATGGGTGATTCACGGTCCTTTTGTTCTGTTTTCAAATCATTTTCCTTTTTATTTTATTCATATTATGATATGATGGACTATTTTTTGAGTTTCTAGAGGTAATTGATTTGAAAACGGTTCCTAGACGGCGTTTGATTAGTATGTGTTTACAAAAGTGTATCATATGAAACGAACCCTGCCATTATTTTGTTAGCAAAAAAAAAAAAAGTCATTGATCTTTTCATTTTTTAAGGCTTATGCTGGGTTCATCTTTAAACTTTTTTTTTAATTACGAAATTACTAAGGAATATTTTGTTATTCAGAATTAATGATAATTAATATATAATCAAATTACTATATCCTATTTATTAATTATTTACACTAGTTAATTTATGATATTCTATTTATTATTCAATAATCAATTATTAATTACTAAATATTTATTATTTAATGCATTATCTAATGATAATTAATTATTTCGTATACGCAACATACGTCAAAAATAAAATCAAACATCTTTCACGTTTTCTTTTTTTACTTAAAACAATCTCCTAAAAGAATAATCACAAAATTTCATAAACAATCTCAACACCATTATCAAAAAATAGATATATATATATATGTTTTATTTTCGTACTCAAAACAAAACGATTTTAAAAACATTCCCGAACAGATGCTTCAATTTAAAAGATTTACTACTACAACTATTTTGGTCTAGCTCGTCAAAGTGAAAAATACGTGGACATTTTATAGAATATTAATATATGAATATTTCTTTCCCCACTTTGACATTATTGAATATGGTATCAGGTGATTTTTTTTTTTTTTCGGGAATAGAAGGGTATTAAGTAGGGCCGGCAATATGGGTCGCGACACGACAACACGACTCGAAAACTACATGAATTTCACAGGTTAGGGTTGAGAAAAAAAGAGGTTCGGGTCAGAATTTGGTCGACCTGAAATTGACACGAAAAACACGGGTCAATTTCAGATTGGACCCGCCTAACCAGAACACGACACGAAACTCGTAAAAAATTAAAAAATATTAAACAATCTCAACACCATTATCAAAAAATAGATATATATATATATGTTTTATTTTCGTACTCAAAACAAAACGATTTTAAAAACATTCCCGAACAGATGCTTCAATTTAAAAGATTTACTACTACAACTATTTTGGTCTAGCTCGTCAAAGTGAAAAATACGTGGACATTTTATAGAATATTAATATATGAATATTTCTTTCCCCACTTTGACATTATTGAATATGGTATCAGGTGATTTTTTTTTTTTTTCGGGAATAGAAGGGTATTAAGTAGGGCCGGCAATATGGGTCGCGACACGACAACACGACTCGAAAACTACATGAATTTCACAGGTTAGGGTTGAGAAAAAAAGAGGTTCGGGTCAGAATTTGGTCGACCTGAAATTGACACGAAAAACACGGGTCAATTTTGAGTTGGATCCGCCTAACCCGAACACGACACAAAACTCGTAAAAAACTAAAAAATACATATATTTTTCATTACATATTTTGATTTTATTATGAACTTATGATATCATGATAGTTATACTCAAAATCTTATAGTATTATTTGCTTAATTTCAATGGATGTTATTGTATTTTAGTGTGTTATGAATTTTAAGTTATTTTTAATATGTAAACAACTAAATAAAAATATACAATTTTCGTGTAAATTTCGGGTTCACGGGTCAATTTCGTGTCACGGGTCAATTTCGTGTCACGGGTCATTTTCGTGTCGTGTCGTATCAACCCATAAAGTGATCGTGTCGTGTTCGTGTTGCGGTTTTTAAAAAATTTCGTGTCATGGGTCGTGTTCGGGTTGACTGTAAATTAAAAAAAATGATCAAAATACGACACGAATACGACACGTGACACAAATTATCACCCCTAGTATCAAGTGATTATGACATAATTGAATATGGTATTTCATGCCACTATTATTTTCCACTTTAGTTCCTATTTCGTATGAATATCCCAATGCCTTTCCAAGGAATTTGAGGATGCATTAGTACAAAAACAATTATTCAAGTTCAAAAAAGCAAAACATAGAACTTCACATTGATAAACAGCTTATCCCATAGGAATAGTATTGAAAAGGAAAAAGATAACAAAAATAAAATGTTATGAAGTCCACACAGACACGAATCCATTTGGTTGGAGGATTCGTTATCTGATTCGAATCATGATTCATGGTTCACTACAATATTTTTTCTTACAAAAAATACACGTAAATCGAAAATGATTTTAATCTCATGATTTTAATCCATGAACCAAACGGACTAGCGTAAAAGGCCCTTCATGCCAACACAATACCAAGCTTGCCTTATTGCATACATTATTATTTCTGTCACTCTATGTATTTATTGTTTCATATGAAAACTCTACTAATATGACATATTATTAGTTAAATATAAAATAAAATAATAAAATTCACATGTCAAATAATGAATATAATGAGTGACAAAGATAATAATAAAAACAGTTATAGTAGCATTTCTCTTGGATGATATTGCTCGTCTCTTAGACAGAGAGAAGACCTGGTGCTAGCAATTAAATGCATTATTATTTAATGTTAAGCCAAGTAAAGGGCACTTCTTTAGCTTTTTGTGGGTTGACTGTAACATAGAATTTTTCAGGAAGAGAACGAAAGAAACAATAAGATATATCAAATATAAAGAATCTTTAGCGGTCGACACGTATATATGTTATATTATAAATAATCTAAAAGAGAGTTGGGGTTTACTGTTTATCAAGACTCAGTTCACTGTTCCTTCTACAGTGAAATGACGCTTTTGCCCTTCTTTCCCTCATCTTTCTTCCTTCCGTGCAGGGGCTGCTTGGTCTTTTACTGTACATAGTACAGTGTATTGCCCATTTTGCCCTTTCTCCCCCTTCACTTGGCAGGGGGCTTTTCGGTCATTTTGGTCCGCATAAATCCCTAGGCCTTCTAGCTTCTTCCATCACTCCAATCTCGCCGCCTCTCTCAGTACCCCGAACTCTGCTTCTTCTTCTCATTTGATTCCGTTTTGTTCCTTACTACTCTTTTCTCCTTTCATTTCTTCCTCCTGCACCGTTTTTGTTCCCCTTTTTTCTCTCTCCTTCTTCTTCTCATTTGATTCCGTTTTGTTCCTTTTGTTTTTGCTGGAAGTGTTTTTCCTTCTTCTTTTTTCTATTTCATTATGTTCCGTTGTTTTGTTTTTGTGGGAATTTTTTGGCTTTTCCTCTGTGATTTCGTTGTCTTTGCATCTTCGGTGGGCTTTGGGTGTAAATTTGGGATTTTATGGTTTTTTTTGTTAGTTGCTCTATATTTATTAGAATTTTTTGTTCATAGTTTTTGGTTATTTTTAATTTTTTTTGCCCTTTCCTGCTTCGGCTTCTTTGTTAATTTTTTCCTGGCCCCTTTTTTCCCCTTTTCCTTACCTGCTTTGTTCCTTAGTTGTTCTATATATATTAAAGGTTTTCCTCTGTGGTAGTTTTTAAATTTTAATTTTTTATTTTTTTTTTAAGTTTTTCCTTCACCTTTCGGTTTCTCCCTTCACTATTTCATGTTTATGCATTATAGTATTTTGGTTGCTAATCCATGGTATTTAGTTCATATTCTTTGCAGGTTCCTTATCTTCTTCTTTGATGGATTTATCTGTGCTAGCGTACTTTTTTTAACTGATTTCAGCATTGCCTAGCTAATTCTTGATCTTTTCCTCTTCATTTACTGCATTGATGAGTTGGGATGATTATAGTGGCCATTTGCCTTCCCGGTTTGACGAGCTGATGATTTATGCTGATTCATATTCTTTGCAGGTTCCTTATCTTCTTCTTTGATGGATTTATCTGTGCTAGCGTACTTTTTTTAACTGATTTCAGCATTGCCTAGCTAATTCTTGATCTTTTCCTCTTCATTTACTGCATTGATGAGTTGGGATGATTATAGTGGCCATTTGCTTTCCCGGTTTCACGGGCTGATGATTTATACTATTTTTTTACATATACATTAAATGAATTGATGATTTTTTCTATCTGAATTTACTGGAATT